TTTCTCACTTCTTACAAAATGCTCAAAGAAACTGTGTTGAGGAAGAGAAACTGAGCCTCCAGTGCTGAGGATTTAAAAAGCTTCCTTAAACTGCAGCGTGATTTGTCGGAGGGATTCTCAGTAGCTAATTTACAGAGCTCCCTGCGATCATTTCCTGCCACAAGAAAAAGACTAATGCATCTTTCCAGAGTTTCGAATCACAATTTTTTTTATTATCAAGCAGTTCTCGCCCTATAGAGGCCATATCCCTGCTGCCCAGTGGGACCATTAACAGAGCGTGTTGACAGGTTTTGAGATAATAGGTCAAAATAAATGTCCTTTTTCCTAATGTGTGGACATTATCCACAATAAATCTTGACGTAGCATAAAAAAAAAAACTAATGAAATGTTCTTTAATTCCAGGTCAGAGGTCAGCTGTGCAGTAAAAAAAGCTGCAGGTCAATTAGGGCTTCCCCGCAAAGTCAGCAGAAACCTGACATGCCTGGCCAGTGTGTGCAGTGTTACGCAGCAGCCATATCATATGTGATCTGTTCAGCACGAGCCAAGTTACATTCAGCTGGCCAAGAACCATCATTCAGGGCAGGGAGGTCCTTCAGGGGGCTTCGAATGGAGCGCAGCAAGATCAGGGTTAGCTTTAAAGTCGCAACAAAAGGTTCATTATCGATTCATATCGCCATTCTTTTCTGGATTTATCGTTAGAAATGTCAGACAAATTGGAAAAATGTCCATCCTTGTTGCTCAAAGTCCACGGGGATGTCTTTAAATGTGTGGATTTGTCAGTCAAAAAATAAATGCCCCACAAATTAATCCCAAAAGTAAGAGATTATTTTTTGCTTGCCGTTCTTTTAGCTTACAGGTATGAGAGGGGGCATCTTATCATACAAACAAAACGGTCCAGATGTTTACATCGGCTGTGGCAGACAGGAGCGTCCTCTCACTTCTCATTCATGCTCTAAAGATTTAGATTCTGGTGTCAAGCTGGTACACTTTTACAAAAGAAAACCAAAATAAAAAGCATAATCAAAAGAAGAAAGCTAGACTCAGATCTCCCTCCTCTGTGATGGTGTAAAGCCTCAGAGTCGCTCCGCTGTTAAAACACAAGCACGCTGGGTGTAGCTTAGTAGCAGCGTGTTGCAGGATTTGAGGCGATTGAAGCTCACAAAAAACAATTACACACTTTGAAAAGCCTAAACTGATTAGCAGGATATTCAGGTTCTGGAGCTTCGTATTTTCTTCGGTTACTTTCAACACTCCTGTTCGATGCTGCCAACGTGCCTGAGGCGGCCTTAATGTCAATAGTCTGTATTAGCTTGAACTCTTCTTACATTCTCCTGCTCACTGTGAAGGTCTGTGGCTAAGAGTGCAGTCATGCATCGGTTTTATGCTCTTCATTTGGTTGAAAAGTCAAAGATATCAGACAGCGAGGAGGTTACACGTCAGAGTTAATACATCAGCGATTCAAGAGACGGTATTAAAATGTTAAGCAAGTCTCAACTACACCTTGAAATGAAAGCTATTCAGCATATCAAATAATGTCTGTCCTATAAGCGTTTGGAATAAAAGGTGTATTTCCAATAGCAATGTGTCCGTATGTGAAGAAAGACGGGTGAGAATGTGGACATGTGTGAAAAAGTGCCAAGAGGTCTAGCATTCCTAATAAAAAGTGAAAACGTGAGAAAAGAATATATATATATGGTTTTTTTTTTTTACCGAACGGTTCAATAGCCCGGATAAAAACTCTTCAAATTACACCTCATGCCTCATTGAGTCCGAGATCTGTGGTTGTGCAAATGTTTTTCATTTCAAAACTTTGACGCCCAGGGTGTTTTTTCTCTGTTTGTGCATTGGAGGCTTTTCTTATCACATCACAAAAATCCTGCTCTTGTTCGAACTCACTGCCATGAGCACAGAGAAATGCCTTCTCCAGCAGATCAATGTGACAACTGTGTCAAAGTAAAAAGGGACTCAAATACACATAAATTACTCAATGACAGATTTGACAGTGTAGCCACAATGCTTATAAATAGACACCCCCCATTAAGCCAGGTTTAAACGCAAGGCCCCTTTATCTTTTGACCTTCTATCACCGCAGCCAGAATATTTCCAATAGAAATGTGTGTTTTAGCAGAAAAACGTCAGTATCTATGAAGAAAGACAAGTCAGAGGAGAATGGGGACATGTGAGAAAAAGTGCCAGTGTGTTTTAAGACAATTTAAGGATCCAGCATCCATAACAAAATGTAAGAAAAGAAAGAAAAATGTATTTTGATTGTGGGTTTTTCTCACAAAACGGTTCAATAGACTATCCTGCTCTTATTCAAACTCACTAACACGAGCACAGAGACAAGTTTCCTTAGTTACAGCCTTTTAGTGTCAAGTAAAGGGACTCAGTTACACATAAAGGACTTAATAAGAGATTGTTTAAGTGTTGCCACAATGCTTATAAATAGACACCCCCCATTAAGCCCGGTTTAAACCTAAGACACCTCCATCTTCTGACCTGCTAATCACACCGGCCATGTGTTGCAAAAGTTGAGGTAACCCCAGAATTTAAACCCTGGTGCTGATAAAGTATCTAATAAGTAACATGTGGAGACATAAGCTAATTCTTCTACCCCCACAAAAGATGTAGGGGTCCTAGGTTTAAACCTGGCTTAAACCTAGGACCCCTACATCTTTTGACCTGCTAACCACCCCAGTCACGCTTCCAGTGTTGCAAAAGTTGAGGAAACCCCTGAATCTGAACCCTGGTTCTGTCCTGATAAGATCATTCAGATGCATCTTCTCTAACCCACCCCCCCAAATAACTGCACAGACTTGTTGGCTGCTCTATGCATGTCTTCCCCCCCACCACAATGTCACACAGGCTCCTCGCTGCAGCAGCAGTCTGGCGAGGGGAGACATCCACCCTGAAGAAGAAAAAAATGCACCAACTTTCTGTTGTCTTGATTTAATCTCAACCTCATGAAGATGTTGCACACACACACACAGTAACACACACACAGTAACACACAAACACACACACTGAACTTTGGACGGCAGCAGGAAGAGCCTTAATGGTGGACCATGGGGAAGAATTGGTGAGAGAAACAATGTTGCATTTAAACATGCCGAGACAGGCAGGGAGAGAGGCGGGGATTGAGCCTCTTCCCCGGGCCGGATAACCGTGTGCACCCCGGCTCTCCTAGCGTTAAACCCGGCTTCACGTGCACGGTTTCCCCCTCTTCAAACAGCCCCATCCCCTATGTGCAACTGCAGGGCCCGGCGCCGCCATACACCAGCCCATAGACACATAAAACAACACGTATAGCACCAGGCGGAAAGAGACATGCGAAAAATGAGGAGGTGGGGGGGCACAAACCGGGACCGTAAGCCAGTTTCAGACCCACTGAGGACCGGACTATGGACAGAAC